AGGAAGGATTATTTTATTTTATTTTTGTGATTATTTAAATATATCTAATAATGTTTTAACATATTTTATAAATAAATATAAATACAGAAAGAGATGTAAGGGTTCCTTTTTATTTTGTGCAAAGATTTTGCATCTTTATTTTTTTATTAATGTATTGGTTGTTTAGGGTACCTCTACATATAAGCTCATATGATTATTTATGCTTCATGAAAAAAAATATAAGAATTAAAAAAGAAAATCTGGGAGAGAAAACTTACATATCAGCTTAGTATATGCAAAATGGTTCACACAAAATTATAGATAGCTTGTATAAGCACCAGGGAAGAATTTGATTTCCTTCATGCACTAAAAACAGAATATTCAAGATGTATAGAAAACAAAGATTCTGAGAATAAAATAAAAGATCTGGCAATTTATTTGCAACCATATTGCAACAATTACAAACACAGTAGAGCTATTAAAGGGGCTCAGAGTAGAATTTACAATACTTTTTATTCAATGAATCAATATTTTAATGGTTACAATACACACTACAAATTAATATTTGTGTAATACAGAACTTTTGAAAGTTGTGTATGAGAAAGTTATGTATTCATTTCATATGAAAATGAAGCTCCCAGTTAGCCTCATTTTCAAATGTCTCCCAAAATATCTTAATTAAATCTATTAAACAGGCAAAGTTTCCAGTTTTGATACCCAAGAATGTGTATTTCATTTTTTTTGTTCCTATACTGCTAGAGGTTTATTTAAAAAACAAGGTCTACACAACTATAATTCTGAAGACTGTTGAAAACCTATCCAATTGTTTAAATTTTCTTTTAAGCTTTGATGCAAAAATATTGATAGCAACCTTGACACACAGGGAACAGATCATTTTACTTCAAATCAACCATTCCACATTATGTACAAAGGCATCACACTTCTGATAATGTTAGAGCACCAACCTTTCAGACCTCAGGGACCACTAAATTCACCATTTTAAATCTCGCGGATCACTAATATGATCTGTCTAATGACCAACTCGGTGGGCGTGGCCAACTCGATGTCATTCACATCAAGGGCCACCTCACTGGCCTCTACTTGCCCCTCCTCTCCCGGTCACTCCTTGCCTGCCATCCGGGCTCCTTAGGGCCCCAACAAGAAGCAGTTGTTGGAGCTAAGCAGCCACCATGAGAAGGAGTTGGCAAAACAGCTGGCTCAGTTCAAATTGGATCTGACTAAGAAGAAGGCTCAGCAGAAGCACCTCACTGAGAACTACGAGCTTAGGCTTTCCAAGCAGAGGGAAGACTTGCGGGAGTGCAAAGCAGGCACTAGTGCGTGAAGGCTCAGTGGGCTGTGATGATCAACCAGTTCCAGACCATGATGCAGTCCCACTGGAACAAGGCCCTCTGGCTCTTCATCACCAGCAGCACTTCCCACCCAAGGCCCTTCATCAGGAGGCTGAAGCAGGCCCCAAGTTGGAATTTCTGCCCCCCTCTGACCTGCACAAAAAGACCCCGAAGGGGGAGACTCTTTGCAGCAACACAAACATTTATTCTATAGTTTGAGGACCCCTGATTTAGTGCAATATACAAAATGTAAATAATTTTTCTGTGGACCACCAAAATTTTCTCATGGACCATCAGTGGTCCGTGGACCACCAGTTAATGACTGCTGTATTAAATGATAATCCGGATACACATGAATAAAAGTTATATATTCTAATGTAAAATTTAATTAGTTTTTTTTACGTTTTTTCTTATTTTAATTTTTGTTAGCCATTTCATGCACTTTGAGTAGAAATATTTATACTGTCAACATCCCTTCCTTCCTTCCTTCCTTCCTTCCTTCCTTCCTTCTTTCCACTTCCACTAATATGGAAGTGGAAGGCACTAAAGACCTGGTTCTGTCAGTGGGTCTGGGGAATGCAGAGTGGCATGGAGTCCATTAAATGGCTCATGTGATGTGTTGTCACCGGGGTGGGGTGGAGTGGGGGTTATTATTTTATTAATTTATTATGTGATTATTCTTTTATTAGTTTTATTGTTTTATGTATTTTTCTATATTTATATTCCCGTAAGCCACCTTGAGTCACCATGTGCAAATAGGCGGCAATATAAATTTCCTAAAATTAATTAATTGATTGATTAATTTTTAGAACTTCTTTGCTGGTTGAGTTCAGATTTAGTAAGAAGAAACTGTAAGCTGGCTTTACTAGAACAATTCCTGGCTTGAGCAGATTGAACTGGGAACAGACCTCACTGATTACAAGAAAACCACCTTCAGTAGTGTCTTTTGCTTAACCAGTTGACATGAAAACTAGGCAACTTGTGCCTATTCATTGATTTGAAAGTTCACTGAATTTTATTTCACTGGAAATTATTTCCAAATTAGCCTGACAGAATTGGAGCTTTCAAGCCTGTACCAATTTTCTAAGGTGTAAGCTGGTTTAATGGGCCTTACAGGCATATTTGCATCCTAATGTTTCTTTAGACATTGCAGTTGTCCATAAAGACAATCCGGTCATAAAACAATGGAGATGAGACTCACAGCATCAAATTATATTATAGATCTGCTTGGGTTCTTCATCTTTCACCTTCCCTTTTTTTGTTATGCCTTTTAAACAATAAGCCAGGGACTTCCAATTTTTTAGGTTATTCTTGAATTTATGTAAATTACTCCGGAAGGCCTACCATGTCTGAGCTGAAAATTCCAGATGACCACAAGGACACAGAAAAATGCTCAAAATTTGAAGTAATATCTTTGCTATCTTCTAGGCCCAAGAGTCTGGGCGCCATCAGGATTCATGCAGTCCAGATAATGATAGCTGTACTGAAGATTAGGACTTAAAACACAAAGAATGTAACTAATTGGCATTGCATGTGTGTGTGTGTGTGTGTGTGTGTGTGTGTGTGTGTGTGTGCAAGTTTTATTTGCAAGATTTCCAAAATGGTTTGCCCTTACATTCTTTTCATCCAGCTGGCTTCATGCCCAGGGCATGACTAGATCTCACTGTCCCCATTTCTAACCTGATTCCTGAATCACTAAATTGGCCATAGCAGCCATATGCAAAGAATAAAACAATACTAGGTATTACGTTTGCCTATTCAAGAACTTAAAGTTATAAGTTAAGCATGAAAATATAATGATGAAATTTCAATGTTATTTTATCATCTGTTAATATAAGAGAGGTAACAAAAAAACTGATTCCAGGCTATGGCTGGTTTGGGGGAGTAAATAACATAACTCATATTTCTAAATTACAACCAAGGGTATATTATCTAAATTAAGGGATGGCTCCATCCAGTGAGCATTATTAGTGCCAAAGTATTTTGTTTTGCTGCCATCTGCTGGCTATTTATTAAAGAAAGGAAGGCAATTATCTAGCACCTTTTCAAGCAACCATATTAGTGTGGGGGAGAGAAAAAGGGAAACTTGTCATTTTCTGATGGTAAAATGAAAATTTCAGTTTTATTAAACTGATCCTGGAGATTTTAAAGATTAAAGCTGCTATCTACTATTGCTGTTATTAGATTTAATCTTTGCTTCTTAAGTCTTAATCAAATGCCTTATCGCTAAACCACATTGATTCTAAAGTTATATTTTACCAATTTTTTTATTGTGGTCCACATTTAATTATAGACTGAAAGCCTAATCAAAAATCAACTTGAATCCATAGAGATTCAGCCTCTTGTTATACACGTTACTTGGGTTTGCAATTCTTTTGCTCCTGGTGCTACCATTGACTCACAGAGACCTTTTCACCCAGCCTCTTTGAGAGCAAATGTTATGCCTAATGGACTGATTTTGCCCACAAGGGGCAGTATCTCCACCTAGCCCTACTTTTTTTTCTCAAGGAGACAGGATGAAAAAATTCCCCCAGAAATCCAGGCAGATTAACATTTTGGGGTAGCCGACAGGGAAGATTGCACGTGGCAATCACATGATCATTTGAAGATTGCATTTGGCAATCACATGATCATCTAAGACAGGGATGTCAAACTCAAGGCCTGCAGGATGGATCTGGCCCACAATGTGGTTAGATTTGGCCTGCAGGGCTGCCCTGGAAACAGCAAAGGACCGGTCCCCAGCACCTTGCCCTGCCAGCCGTGTGGTGATCTACAACTTGGTAGCGGCCACCCGGACCAGAATGTGGTCAGCCTTAGATCTGCTGCCCTGGAGCCAACGAGGGGCTGCGCTGGAGACAATAGATTCCTCCACCTGGGCTTCCACAGGCACCCCCGACATGAGTGACATTGAGCTGGCCATGACCACCCTGGCTATGCTCACCCAGTCAGCTGTGACCACTCAGCCATGTCCACCCAGCCCCCCACAAACCTGATGTGGCCCTCAATGAAATAGAGTTTGATACTCCGATCTAAGCCATAAATCAAATGAGTTGCCACCTGCCCAAATCACAATCAGATGACTGTGGAGGCGCAATGGCTGTTAAGTTCAGGCATGGGTCTTGTTCCTTCATTCAGTGCTGTCATAATTTCAAAAGATGGCTGAATGAATGGTCATTAAGTGAGGAATATCTGCATTGAAAATTGGGAATCAACAGAAATCCTTGTGAAAATGTTTGGCTAGAAATAAGAGAGAATTAAAAATGATACCACTGTGAGATTTCAGATGAAGTGGCAAAAGACACTGATGAGGCCTTTCTGGATCAGGGTTACAAATAACTGGGGTATTGTTGCATAGAAGAGGGAGTGGGCTTATTTTCTGTTGCTCCAGAAGGTAAACCAGAACCGACAAGTTAAACCAAAAAGAGCAGGCTGGAAGTACAAGCTATCAGTCAATGGAAGAGGCTGCCACATGAAATGGTATGTTCTGCTTCCTTGGAGATCTTCAGAACGGTGGCTGGATTGCCATCATGATCTCATAGATCTGACAATGACCAAGGGTTGGATTACATGTCTCTAAATCCCTCCCATCTTCCCAGTTCTATGAAATGGAAATAAAACCCAATAAAATCACCTTTGTTACCAGAAACTCAACAAAATTTTATTAAACCTTGAATGTCAAGCATATTAAAATGATGGCAGAAAAACCAGCAACTGTAGCTAGTTAAATGCAGTTTACGCTCTGTATAAATGCAGTTTCCATGAAATCTTTGCATTAATATTTAACACCAATTCAGATCCGGATGGAAATTGTACAACTGAGTTGATTACGATGCCAGCACGTTTGTTGAATGCATCTCATTTTACAAAATGAACACTGAAAAAAAGCAACATTGCAGAGACTGTAATTATGAGGAAGCATCAGAGGTCTCTTGTAAACTTTTGGTTTGACATTTACAATTCTATAGAAAAAAATGGTAAACTCACGTTCTGTAATCAGGATGAACAGATTAAATAAGTTTATGCTTTACTCTGTGAAGATTTGCTTTTCAACAACAGAAAACCTTTGCCAGACTATACTTAGAAACCAACATTTTAAATGCACATTTTAGTCTATTTCAGAAGCTTCCAGATATGTTTTTGTTGTGGATAGAAGCATATAATTGAATATTTTGCATAAATTCATTAAGGTCAGCATAGCTAAAAATACATTGCATCAAATTGCCCAATGATAAATTAGACATTGAGAAACAGATAGTTTGTGTCTTTTTCAATATGAAAGACACAGAAATTGGGGAAATTTATCAACATGTGAAATAACAACCAGCAATGTTCCATTAAAATTAAGAGGTGTATATGCCGGCTGAATAGAAAAATCTTCACAGTGATTTACACTTGATTACCAAGTGCAGAGAGACCAATCCAGATTCCAGCACGTGCTGCTGGGCAAACATAATTACCAAACTAAACACATTGGAGAAAAAGTTGGAATACAAAGAGTAAGCCATATTGGACAAGCAGTCGTGATTTAAGATAAGGAGAAGAAACTGCTGTCGCTATTTTCTGTGATAACTAAATTCAACTGGATCAGAGCCCCAAATTCCATACACTGAATATGGGAATTTTTTTTTACCATATTATTTTACACCATAAGAGGTACTTTAGTTCCTAGGAATTGGAATTATTGCCAGTTTTCTTCCTGAGTCTTGAAAGATCATCAAGGGCAAGCACCAAGGCTACTTCGCCACCTCAGATTAATAACTTGGTCCCTTTCTAAATGGATCTCTTCCTACAATTGCACTGAAGCACAGAGATGGGTCACAAATTCCAGGCTGTCCATTTTGCCCTGGGATTCCAGGACTTCCACGTTCTCCATCTTTCCCAGGCTCCCCACGTTGTCCAGGACTTCCTTCTTTACCTATCCCAGGTGGGCCTTCAGCACCTAGACAAAATGTGGAACATATACATGAAGAATGGTTAGCACCCATAAAAGATGGTAGTTGGGTAAAGATCTGTAGCCTGAATTATCCCACCTAGGTAACCTACCCCCTACTGCTTAGTCCTGGTTGATCTACAGCTTCAGAGCAAAGGAGAAAAGTTATGAGGAAAATCATTCTTACAACTATACCATTACAATATCCTTCCCCAGTAATCAGATTCCACAGGATCGTGTCCTAATTCTGTTCTTTTTAGTATTTCAACGTAAAAAATATAATAGTCTTCTCTGAATAAAATAACTTTTCAAACCCTGCTCCCAATGGCAGAAAGATTGCTACAGAAAAATGCCATTCAATCCAATTAAGCTTCAGGTAGTCCTCAAGTTATGATGATAACTGGGACTGGGACTTTCATCGCTAAGCAATGTGATTATTAAGGCCAAACATCACATGACCATACCACTCAGTGACAGCAACCCCCCCAGTGCTCCCTGTTGCCATCATTAACCAAATCATTAGGCAAGGACTCAGACTGGCCCAAGCCATTCTCAACTTGGTCTCTCCCAGCTCTGAGCCTCAGTAAGGTAAGGGACTACTTTCTCCACTTCCTCTTGAGCTCCCCCCCCAGCCACCATTCTCCAAAAGGTGTGCCTGTTCTCACAAGGCTTCAGCAAGCCTTTAGAAAGCTGCTGAGGCCTTCCGAAACAACAGGAGACAAGTGCACCTACCATTCTCCAAATGGAGCATCCCATTCTCACAATACTTCAAAAAGCCTTTGGAAAACTGCTGAGCCCTCCCAAAGCATCACAAAAACGGCGTGCATTTTGGAGAATGGCAGAAGCGGCTTCGGGAAGAAAGCCTGGTGCAACCAGAGCCAGGCTGGGCATACCTCAGCAGCAGAGGGAGGAAGATAGCTAAGGTCAGCTGGACACAGCAGAACTTGAAGAAAACAGGGTGGTGGAGGCAACTGTGGCTGTGTGCTGGGGCTCTGAGATAGTGGGCTGAAATATGGGGCCTGAGGTGGCCCTACTTGGCAGGGGCTCTTGAGCAATGGCTGACAGTTTAGACCAGGGGTGTCCAACCTTGGCAACTTTAAGACTTGTGGACTTCAACTCCCAGAATTCCTCAGCCA